GTGTCTGACAGTGTGTGTGCGAGAGATACTGAGTGTGTGTGTCTGACTGTGTGTGAGAGAGATACTGTGTGTGTGTGTGTGTGTCTGACTGTGTGTGTGTGTGTGTGTGTGCGAGAGATACTGAGTGTGTGTGTGTGTGTCTGACAGTGTGTGTGTGAGACTGTGTGTATGTGAGAGAAAGTGTGTGTGTGTGTGTGAGAGACAGTGTGTGTGAGACAGACAGTGTGTGTGAGAGAGAAAGTGTGTGTGAGACAGTGTATGTGTGTGTGTGTGTGTGAGAGAAAGAGTGTGTGTGTGTGTGTGTGTGTGAGAGAGACTGTGTGTGTGAGAGAAAGTGTGTGTGACTATTTGTGTGTTTGTGTGTGTGCACGAGAATGCATGCACTAGTGAGTGTGTGTGTAAGAGTGAGTGTGAAAGAGTGATGAGTGTGTGAGAGTGAGTGTGTGAGTGCTCACTGCCGTCTCTTCCTTCCTCTGGTTTTGCGAATCCACCGCACAGGTCCCCTGGACACCGGGCCCTGTTTGCTGCTGAGCTGTGCGTGTGGTCTCGCTGTCAGGACAAAGTCACAGATTGTTGGCCGTCGACTGTATCGAACCCGACACGTCTGAGTTGCTGGGTAGAAACCATCTGCTTTTGCTGTGATTTCATAATCTCCTGGGTTCAGTAATCGCCAATAATCCCCACCTACAGCTGAGGGACAGCAAGCAGCAAAAGCTTACTGTTAGGAACTCTGATCCCTGACCCCTCCGACACCCATCCCAGTCACTGTCCACTCTGACCCCCCCCACACCCATCCCAGTCACTGTCCACTCTGACCCCCCCCACGCCCATCCCAGTCACTGTCCACTCTGACCCCCCCGACACCCATCCCAGTCACTGTCCACTCTGACCCCCCCCACACCCATCCCAATCACTGTCCACTCTGACCCTGACCCTCTCCTCCCTAGAATGATTTGTTGACCCTTACCTGTCCTTATGTCATGGTCAATCCCATCGACTGCAATGATGGCTCCATTGATGCCATTGTTGTCACGATCCCTCACCATGCCCTTTACACCCCGGTGAATCTGTACAGCAAGAGGCCACAGGTCACTGTAAGGCAGTTACTGCTGGGAGACAAAGACACAGAGTTTGCCATGGACATTGGTTGATTCACTTACCTGCTCCATGTAGATAAGAAGGGACTCCTTGTTATTTTCCCATTCAGCTGGAAGTTCAGTCTGGTGGGGGTATTTATCACAACTCAGCTCAACCGTGATCTCAAAACAGTTGGTGTGAAGATAACTGAAGTCGTTCATACCTGAAAAACACATTGCTGCTGACAACCAGGCACTTCGTTCGCTGTAGGCATGGCAACCAAGTATTGCAAAGCAAGATCCCACAAACAGCAAAAGAATAGGTAAACTTTCTGCACTCACTCTCCAGATGTGTACACTGTTAAGGCTACAATATACTAAAGGGGAGGCAATAGCCTCGTGGTATTATCGCTGGACTGCTAATCCAGAGGCCCGGGGATTTTCTGGGGACCTGGGTTTGATAGCAGGTGATGGAATTTAAATTCAATAAACAGGAGTCTAATGATGGCCATGAATCCATTGCCGATTGTTTGTGGGAAAACCCATTTGGTTCACTAATGTCCTTTAGGGAAGGAAACTGCCATCCTTACCTGGTCTGGCCTACATGTGACTTCAGACCCACAGCAATATGGTTGAATCTGAACTGCCCTCTGGGCAATTAGAGATGGGTAATAAATGCTGCCTAGCCAGTGATGGCCTCATCCCGTGATTGAATATTGAAAAAAAAACTACCCATTCCTTAGAGATAGTTTCAGAGATAGTAGGAACTTCAGATGCTGGAGAATCTGAGATAACAAGGTGTAGAAGGGTCTAGGCCTGAAACGTCAGCTTTCCTGCTCTTCTGATGCTGCTTGGCCTGCTGTGTTCATCCAGTTCTACACCTTGTTATCTCAGTTTACCCATTCCTTATTATGCTTTGGCAAGAGATAAATATTGATCAGGAGACAAAAAAGGATCACTGAACTGTTACAGTTCAGAAGGAGATCATTTAGCTCATCATAAAAACATTAAAGAAAGGAGTAGGCCATTCAACCCCTGCTCCACCTTTCAGTATCTTCATGGCAGATCATCAAGTTCAAGACCCTGATCACCCCCTTCCCCTCCAATATCCCTCAATCCCTTTAGCCACAAGAGCTGTATCTAATTTCTTCTTCAAAACAATGAATGTTTTGGCCCTCAACCACTTTCTGTGGTAGTGATTTCCATAGGCTCTCCACTCTCTGGAGAGTGAAAACATTTCTCCTCATCTCAGTCCTAAAAGGTTTACCCCATATACTTAAACTATGACTCCTGGTTCTGGACTCACCCACCATCGAGAACATCCTTCCTATATCTAACCTGTCTCGTCCTGTGAGAATTTTGTCAGTTCCAGGGAGATTTCCCCTCATTCTTCTAAACTCTAGTGAATACAATCCTAACCAATTCAATCTTACATTGTCAGGCCTGCCAGCCTAGGTAATTTGGTAAATCTGCACTCCCTATTTCGAAAGAACATTCTTCCTCACAACATTCCAACTGTGGCCTCACCAAAACCCTGCATAATTATACCAAGACTGTGGATACTGTCTGTGTGGGGACTCAGGGACAGTATTACTGTGGATGCTCAGAGTATGGCGACACGTGGACATTATTACTGCGGATACTCTCTGTGTGGGGACACCAGGATTATTGAGGATACTCTGTTTGGGGTGGAGGGCCAGTATTACTGCATATATTTTTTTCTGTTTGGGGTCACAGGGACAGTATTACTGCAGATACTCTCTGTTTGGGGACACGGGATTACTGAGGTCACTCTCTGTTTGGGACACAGGGA